ACACAACACACACCGCGACGACACGCACACACACGACACCGACACGACGCGACGCGCGACACTACTACGACACGACACGACACACACGACACGACACAACGACACACACACACACACACACACACACACACACACACACACACACACACACACACACACACACACACACACACACACACACACGCACACGAGATATATACATACGTGCATACTGAATTTCATGTTTTACCTGCGGTATCGATTGGTAGCTATAGCAACAGATAACTGCAGTGCACAGCGGCACGGGTTTATAAAACAAACAACATTGTTAACGCGGTATGCGTGCAATTACGTTTCAATCCGCCCCTCTCCTCTCGCTTTCCCCCTCTCACCTTTTTTTTTCGTTATCTCTCTCCCCCTGTCTGTCTACTTATTCGCGTCTATCTCATTTGCACTCTTTTTCCTCATATCTCTTTCCCTCCCTCTTTCTGTCTGTGTGAGTCTCTCTCTCTCTCTCTCTCTCTCTCTCTCTCTCTCTCTCTCTCTCTTACCGTTTCTTTCTCACGCGTTCCTCTCTCTTTCGCTCTCTTTCTCTCTCTCTCTCCCTCGCTTTCTCTCTTTTGCTCGCGTCTCTCTATCTCACCCTCTGCTTCCCTCGCTTACACCACTATCACTCATTACCCTCTCTCTCACACCTGCCCTGACTCTCTCGCTTGCGCGCCTTTTTGCTCCTTCTTCGATGCAACCATCGCCAGCAATTTACACGGCTTCGTCTCAACCCACCCCTCCACCTTCTCTACTCACCCATCTGCCTTCTCTACTCACCCCTCCCCTTCTCTACTCACCCCTCCCCTTCTCTACTCAGGTGAGTAGAGAAGGGGAGGTGTGAGTAGGAAGGGGAGGTGTGAGTAAGGAAGGGGGAGGTGTCTCCCCTTCTCTACTCACTCCTCTCCTTCTCTACTCACCCTCCCTTCTCTACTCACCCTTCCCCTTCCCTACTCACCCCTCCCCTTCTCTACTCACCCTTCCCCCTTCCCTACTCACCACTCCCCTTCTCTACTCACCACTCCCCTTCCCTAATCACCACTCCCCTTCCCTACTCACCACTCCCCCTTCCCCTTCATCACTCATCACTTATCATTATATCAGGAGTGATTAATAATGGATAATCTATTATTATTAATTATCGATTATCTAAAAATTACAGATAATCGAGTATTATTCAATCATGATTATATCATTATATCACCTTCTCTTTCGCCTCTTCCGTGCGCAGGTTGACTTCGGTAACGTCGTGTTCGGTACGATTGCGGGCCCTGCACCGCGTGACATAGGTGCAATGAAGCCAGGCGACCACGGTACGCAGGCGAGCGCCATCACCCTGCTCAACGAGAAGACACTCCACTTAACTAACCTGATGTACGACGGAACCTCCGCCGGTGAGTCATCGCTCGCTGTTCAGCCGCCGCGCACCTGCCCGAGAGAGGAGGAGGTTTAAAAAACACATTGGGCGACTCATCCGCCTTTCCTGCTCGCATGGGTTTTACTGTTCTTACCATGTTTTTTGCTGTTGTACCCGTGTGTAACGTGTGATGGTGATGAATATGATCTAATCTATCTATTTATCCATCCGTGCATCCATCCAGCCAGCCAGCCAGTAATTTATCCATCCATCCATCCATCCATCCATCCATCCATCCATCCATCCATCCATCCATCCATCCATCCATCCATCCATCCATCCATCCATCCATCCATCCATCCATCCATCCATCCATCCATCCACCCATCCATCTATCCATCTATCTAACCATTCATTCACCCAGCCATCTGCCCTTTGTGGCTCGGGATATACGCAGAGAAATTGCGTAGTGTAATATACGCATGCATAGCATTGATCTCAGAGAGTACTGTAGAAGCTTTATTATGAATCTCTCTTAGCATGGGGCGAGATGAAACGCGAATGGAAGTGCGCACGTACGCACGCACATAGACATACAGTGTGGGTAATAGAGAGTGGATAATGGTGGTGGGTAATGAAGAGTGACGACCCACATATATAGTTATTACATGCGTCTACGCTATATGATGCTGAGATTTCCCAGCTGACATCCTGATATTGTGGGTTTTCACGATGGATTTGGTTTCTTCGTCACGATTCGTTCTCTCTCGTACGCGCGTCATTTCTCGCGAGAAATACATCGCACATTATAAAGGCATTATCAGGGACAATAATCGCAAAAAGGCTTTTATACGTAATATCAGGCTCACCATAAACACATATGTTTCAGATGCGTTTTTCGTCGTTCGAAAAAGCGACGGCACCGACATGAAAGTACGCGACGAAAATAACAGGTAATTTCGGCTGCATATGTTGCTCCCGGTCACAGCGATAATCCGAATAAGATCGGTTATTCTCGGAGTTGTTTTGTTTTACCTCGGACGTCGTTAGGGCGTACCAAACGAATAATAATGAATATGTTTCAACAAGGTAAGAAAATAAAAATCGTGTGCGTGACTTCGCTGTGCGTGTTTGTATAAACAGCCAACGATTCCGACTTTCGCGAGAGATGCCAGACGGATGATTACGAACCATAGAAACAATATAGGTGTCTCTATTATATTTCTATGTTGCGATCAGACCCAGAAGACAGATCATGATTAGGCAAACAAAGTGAAAACGCTCCGATATTGTGTTCTACAAAGGTGCGTGTTTGTGATTCTAGCCTCACGAAGTTGCACGCCTACACGGGGCAGAATGTCACCCTGACACTACCGGAGTCAGTGAGTTTCTTCGACGTTGATTACTTCAAGATCGGCTGCGTAGCCTGCTCCGAGGCTCACGGTATGGTGGCAATCCCCGCCTCTGTCAAAGTACCGGGAACTCTTCCTTCATCCATGGTAAGCCTTCTCGGACGATACTCGCATTCTAACATGATGCTACGTTCTTCTATATATCACTGCATCCTGATTGCATGTTATCTGATAGTTCTATATTACATATTATATATTAATATATTCTATTAAGATGCTATATTCTATATTATATAGCATCTTCTATGTATTCATGTACTGTGTATTATGTGCTATCTACGGACTAGCCACTGACATCGGTGCTTCGCCTTTGAAAAGAAGGTTTTCAGTAAATAAAAAAGAACTAATAACTTTTAGGGATATTAAAAATAACTCATCATGCTTTCAATTTTGGATCTTTAAATGTTTTCTTGCAGGCGAACAATGCGGCTCCAATGAAAAATTGTGAAACGCTTCTAGATGGCATATTCAACGTGGAGTGGAAGATAAATGGCAATGTGATCAGATTTACCTTGACCGGGCAAGCGGGTACGTGGCCACCTTTCGTTCGTATTTTTCATGTCCAAATTTACACATTTTATTCATCTTATATGCTCCCCACCCCTCTCCACAGCATTTTCTCATCGCCCCCCTCTCTTGTCCTTTTCGCAATCGTTTATTTATCCTCTCACTGTAAACGCAATGACTAAATAATTTGTTGAACTCACAACCTGACGAAAATACCCTTCGAAATGTCGCGGACGACAACGAAGAAAGTGAGACACGACGATGACGATAGTCAGATCAGCGCTGCGGATTGCATTTGATAGAATTCTGCTTATTATTGCTATGCGAAAGGATTATTTTTGCTGTCGATCGTACGTAGAGTTGTCATGACTACGGCTAGCGAGACGTAGAGCAAGCTAAAGAACACATGTAGCGCTTTACGCGAAAATCTCGCAAAATCTCGCAAACATCGCACACACTGAACCGAGGTCTATTTTTAGAAATCAACGCAACACATGCGCAGTTCCGTTTCTTGTCCAGAGACAAGAGAAACGCCAGCAGTTCGAAGCTCTTTCGTACCAGTAAAGTCACGACAGGGAAAGCACTGGAGTTGTGAAGCACACCCACAAAAATTGAAAATGAATATTGAAAATTGAAAATTGAACATTTCTAAAAATAAACCTCGGTTCAGTGTGTTGCATCGAGTGCTTACCTAACACTATTAGTTATAAGTTTATTAGTTATATGGCGCGACAGCCCGACTTACAATGCACAGTTTCAGACAATCGCGAATTTGCGACATTTCAGAACCGGGTACGTATTTGTCATTCGGACTCAGCGGGTCTATGACAGCAACGTCTATGATAAGCTCTGACGCCATAGTGGCGTGGATCGACAAGACAACGGCGCAGCCACGTGCTATGGACTATAATCTAGGGGCCTACTCCCAGGTGAGTCTGATTCCAGATGAGAGTGAAACAACGACGTATCGGGTTGTTGTTGTGTACGAAAATCCCTAACGGGTTAACGACAAAACTACATCTGAGTAAACGAGATTACACTTCAACAAGATTACGGTAGTTTTTCTAGAAAAAGTTTCAAGATGGGATATAACGTAAGATAGGATAAATAGAATACGCTTCTTCTACAACATATTAGAGTTATCATAGGGTTATAAACATTCCTTAAGCTTGTCATAACACTCCACGATTAATGGAAATTCTTATAGATCAGCAGGTGAAGGTGTGTTTAGATTTCAGTTTAGGATAGTTCAGGATCCACATGGGCAAATGAGTTGCATTGTGTACTTATTTTAATTAGTAATATTACATTGATTCACACCAGAAGGCGGCTGCTACCGCCCAACTGGACACAATAGGCGCGTTCACATGGACGTTTTTGGCCTGAGCTTAATTAGGCCCGCGCCAGATTTGGCTCGAGCCGAACGTTCACACGGACGTTTTTGGCCCGAGCCTAATTAGGCCCGTGCCAGATTTGGTCCCATCGAAAACGTCGGACCAGGCCCGAGCCAAATTTTAGCACCAGCTTTCGGCGAGCGGTAGAGCGGTAGAATCGGTTGAGCGGTAGATGCCGCGAGTGTCGAACGTGTACTTCGACGAAATAAAGTAAAAAACAGTATAAAAATTCGAAAAATTTGATCAAGATGCACGTTTTCAAGATTGATAATTGAACTCGGAACGTAAGTCAACACTCTGAATGGTACACAACGCCATCTCGCGACATACTGCCAAAGTATCTGTGAGATATTTGTGCAATAAAATTTATTTGAATTTGAATTTGAATTTGACAGACAGTATTCACTTGCGTACGTGTGAACGCTCCGACTCAACCCGGCCCGAGCCAAATTTTGCCCGAGCCAAATCTAGCCCATTTGGCTCGAGCCAAACCATGACCGTGTGAACGCGACTAATGATTGTGTCCAGATTGGACGGTAGCAGCCGCCCTCTGGTGTTCACACGTTTTTGTTAGTTACTCGCTTCATGATCCTGCTCGACGACAGAAGGCGTTCGTTGACCAGCTTAATAAAATCTGTAGGACATTATAAACATGGAGAGTAGCGACGCTGCGAAGGCGTGCGCGTCCGTCTATATGGATTTATGCCTTACGTATCCTACGTATAAGACACACGTATACGTAATATATTATACTTAAATATAATAATATAAAAAAATGTAAAAAAATTATAATATAATGTAATATTTATTATTATAATATAAAATAGACCTATATAGTAATAAATGTACTTTCGCGGGTGTCAACAAATGCGCTCATGTGCGTACAGTGTGCTAACATGCGCGGCGTGTGTCCGGATCCGGAACTCGGCGGTGCCAACGATGTCATGGATATCGTCGGAAGCTTCAAAGATGGCGCCACCACGATATCTTTCTCCCGAAGACTGAACACCGGTGAGTCGGTAGTATCAGCAGCATTGCGCCAGTGATCGAACCACGTTATCGATCGCGAATCAATCCGATCGAATGTTATTGGTCGATATCATCGATGATGATATTGCGATGACGCAACGTAAATTACTAATGGTATGCTAATCAATGGTATTACATGTAACGGGAGTGACATGACTAATAGATGCTAATAACGTTACTCCTGTG